GTAAGCATGTGTTGCTCTTTCTTTATACCGAATTCTACTGCAGCGTTGGAGAGTGTCAGGATGGGCTGAGCGGTCTAAGGCGCCAGACTCATATAAGCTGTTCGGCTGTAGAGCGTTCTGTCCACGAATGTGCGGTTCGAATCCCACTTCTGACAGATGTCTGCACTGCTGAGTGCTTTTTCTCTTAAAATCTGTTGTTACTTATTGATCAGGCTTTAAATATTTTAAATTTAATTTGTTCCATTTAAAATTGTGTTATTCTTAAGTAAGAAACGATTTAATTTGAATCTTAATAATTTAATGCAACGTTGCAGCGTGTCAGATTTTGCCGGAGCGGTCTAAGGCGCCAGACTCGGGCATAAGCTCTCCGCTGCAGAGCGTTGGGTGTTTTGGTCTGATGAATGGGCGTGGGTTCGAATCCCACTTCGATAGATTTTGCGTACTGCTAAGTGCTTTTTCTTCCAAATCATTGTTGATTATTGATCAGTGCTTAAATATTTTAAATTAATTTTTATTCAAAATACGTGTTTTCTGAAGTAAGAAACGATTTTAATTTGAACTTTCTTTAATATGAATCTCACTGCAAAGTTGCATGCGTCAGATGGCTGAGAGGTCTAAGGCGCCAGACCTAAGTATAAGCTTGCTCTGCTGCAGAGTTAAGTGTTCTGTCCACGAATGTGGGCGTAGGGTCTGACCCACTTGATAGATGTCTGGCACTGATAGTGCTTTTTCTTCAAAATCTGTTGTTGATTAATATTCAGTGCTTTAAATATTTTAAATAATTTATCCTAAAATACGTACCTCACAAGAAACGATTTTAATTTGGAATCTTCTTTATTATGAATTCTACCAGTAACGTTGCAGTGTCAGGATGGCTGAGCGGTCTAAGGCGCCAGAATTAAGTATAAGCTTGCTCGGCTGCAGAGCGTTGCGTTTGGTCCACGAATGTAAGGGTCTGAATCCTACTCTGACAGATTTCCCAAGTACTGCTAAGTGCTTTCAAAATCTGCTGTTGATTGTTGATTCAGTTCTTATTTTAACTTAATTTTTCCATTTAAAATACGTGTTTTACCTTGAAGTAAGAAACGATTTTAATTTGAATCTTTCTTACTCTGAATTCTACTGCAGGTGGAGCGTGTCAGATTTATTGATGGTCTGGTTGCCAGACTCAAGTATAAGCTTGCTCTGTAGAGCGTTAAGTGTTCTGGTCTATTAACGTGGCGTGTTCTGAATCACTCTGACAGATGTCTGGCCTAAGAACTGATTTTTCTTAAAATTTGTTGTTGTTTATCACCACAGTGCTTTAACATTTTAAATTTAATTTTTCATTCAAAATACGTGTTATTCTTTAGTAAGAACGATTTCTTTAATTTGAAATCTTTCTTTACTCTGAATTCTACTGCAGCTTTGCAGCGTGTGCTGTGGATGGCTGAGCGGTCTAAGGCGCCAGACTCATGAGCAAGTTTGCTCTGCTGCAGAGCGTTGGGTGTCATGAATGTGGGCGTGTCTGAATCCCACTGACAAATGTCTGGCACTGCTACGTATTTTTCAAATTCTGTTGTTGATTATTGACTATGTTTAAATATTTTAAATTTAATTTTTATTCAAAATACGTGTTTTTCTGAAGTACAGCCTTAATTGGAAATCTTTAATATGAATTTACTGCAAAGTTGCAGCGTGTCAGATGGCTGAGAGGTCTAAGGCCGCCAGACCTGCGTATAAGCTTGCTCTGCTGTAGAGCGTTAGTGTCTGGTCCACGAATGTATGGTCTAATCCACCTTCTGACAGATTTCTGCACTATGTGCTTTTTCTTCAAAATCTGTTGATTATTGATTCAGTGTTTCAAATATTTTAAATTAAATTTTTCCATTTAAAATTATGTACATTCTGCGGTAAGAAACTATTTTTAATTTGTCTTTCTTTAATATGAATTTAATGCAACGTTGCAGCGTCGATTTGCTGAGTTGGCCCACAAGCCAGACCTGTTTATGTTTCTGTTCTGCTGCAGAGCGTTAAGTCGGTCCACGAATGTATGGCGTGGTCTGAATTTGGATAGATGTCTGTACTGATAAGCGCTTTTCTTCAAAATCTGGTTGCTGGATATTGATCCAGTGCTTTAAATATTTTAAATCAATTTTTATCTCAAAATACGTGTTATTCCCTGAAGAAACGATTTTAATTTGAAATCTTTCATTGAATTCACTGCAACGTTGCAGCGTGTCAGATGGCTGAGTGCCGGTCTAAGGCGCCAGACCTGCATGTTTGCTCTGCTGCAGAGCGTTAAAGTTCTGTCCACGAATGGGCGTGGGTCTGAACTTGTTCTGACAGATTTCAAGTACTGCCGCGCTTTTTCAACCTGTTGATTACGATCAGGCTTTGAAGAAATTTAATTTTTCCATTAAAATATGTTGTCCCGTGAAGTAAGGAAACGATTTTAATTTGAAATCTTTCTTTAATATGAATTCGAAATGCAACGTTGCAGCGTCAGATGGCTGAGCGGTCCACAGCGCCAGACTCAATGAGGTTTAGTTCTGCTGCAGAGCGTTGCGTTCCAGTCCACGAACGTGGGCGTGCGGTCTGAACTGCATTTCTGATAAGATTTCAGCATGCTTAAGTGCTTTTTCTCAAAATCCTTTGTTGATTATCTATGCTTTAAATATTTTAAATTTAATTTTTCCATTTAAAATACGTGTTATTCCTCAGTTTAAGAAACGATTTTAATTGAAACTTTCTTTCTCTGAATCTACTGGTGCTGGAGAGCACAGGATGGTCAGAGCTTGGTCTTAAGGCGCCAGACTCAAGTATGTTTGCCTGCTGGGTGCAGAGTTGCGTTCATTCACGAATGCGGCGGGTTTGAACCACTCTGATAGACGCGTCCGGCACTGCTAAGCGCTCTTTTCAAAATCTTGTTGCTGATTATTGATTCAGTGCTTTAAATATTTTAAATTTAATTTTCCTATCCAAAATACGTGTTATTCCTGAAGTAAGAAACGATTTTTAATCTGAATCTTTCTTTACTCTGCCACCAGGGGGTGGAGCGTTAGATGGCTGAGCTGGTCTTGGTCGAGCCAGACTCAAGTATGTTTCGTTCTGCTGTAGAGCGCTGGGGTGTCTCAGTCCACGATCGTGGGCGTATTCTGAATCCACTTCATTGTAGAGTCCGTACCGCTAAGGATTTTTCTAAATCTATTGCATTGTTTATCGGTCCAGTGCTTAAATTATTTTAAATGCACTTTCCATCTTCAAAAATACGTATATTCCTTGTACAAGAAACGATTTTAATCTGAAATTCATTTGAATTCTACCGCAGCGTTGCAGCGTCAGGATTGCCGAGCGGTCGGCGCCAGACCTGCGATACTTTGGTTCTGCCGTGAGTGCTGGGTGTTCTGGTCCATGAATGTACTGGTCTGAATCCTACTTCTGACAGATGTCTGGCACCGCGGCGCTTTTTCAAAATTTGTTGTTGTTTATTTATTCAGTGCTTTAAATATTTTAAATTTAATTTTTTCCATTCAAAAATACGTGTTATTCCTTGAAGTAAGAAACGATTTTTAATTTGAAATCTTTCTTTACTCTGAATTCTACTGCAGCGTTGCAGCGTGTCAGGATGGCCGAGCGGTCTAAGGCGCCAGACTCAAGTATAAGCTTGCTCTGCTGCAGAGCGTTGGGTGTTCTGGTCCACGAATGTGGGCGTGGGTTCGAATCCCACTTCTGACAGATGTCTGGCACTGCTAAGTGCTTTTTTTCTTCAAAATCTGTTGTTGATTATTGATTCAGTGCTTTAAATATTTTAAATTTAATTTTTTCCATTCAAAAATACGTGTTATTCCTTGAAGTAAGAAACGATTTTTAATTTGAAATCTTTCTTTACTCTGAATTCTACTGCAGCGTTGGAGCGTGTCAGGATGGCCGAGCGGTCTAAGGCGCCAGACTCAAGTATAAGCTTGCTCTGCTGCAGAGCGTTGGGTGTTCTGGTCCACGAATGTGGGCGTGGGTTCGAATCCCACTTCTGACAGATGTCTGGCACTGCTAAGTGCTTTTTTTCTTCAAAATCTGTTGTTGATTATTGATTCAGTGCTTTAAATATTTTAAATTTAATTTTTTCCATTCAAAAATACGTGTTATTCCTTGAAGTAAGAAACGATTTTTAATTTGAAATCTTTCTTTAATATGAATTCTACTGCAACGTTGCAGCGTGTCAGGATGGCCGAGCGGTCTAAGGCGCCAGACTCAAGTATAAGCTTGCTCTGCTGCAGAGCGTTGGGTGTTCTGGTCCACGAATGTGGGCGTGGGTTCGAATCCCACTTCTGACAGATGTCTGGCACTGCTAAGTGCTTTTTTTCTTCAAAATCTGTTGTTGATTATTGATTCAGTGCTTTAAATATTTTAAATTTAATTTTTTCCATTCAAAAATACGTGTTATTCCTTGAAGTAAGAAACGATTTTTAATTTGAAATCTTTCTTTACTCTGAATTCTACTGCAGCGTTGAGAGTGTCAGGATGGCCGAGCGGTCTAAGGCGCCAGACTCAAGTATAAGCTTGCTCTGCTGCAGAGCGTTGGGTGTTCTGGTCCACGAATGTGGGCGTGGGTTCGAATCCCACTTCTGACAGATGTCTGGCACTGCTAAGTGCTTTTTTTCTTCAAAATCTGTTGTTGATTATTGATTCAGTGCTTTAAATATTTTAAATTTAATTTTTTCCATTCAAAAATACGTGTTATTCCTTGAAGTAAGAAACGATTTTTAATTTGAAATCTTTCTTTACTCTGAATTCTACTGCAGCGTTGGAGCGTGTCAGGATGGCCGAGCGGTCTAAGGCGCCAGACTCAAGTATAAGCTTGCTCTGCTGCAGAGCGTTGGGTGTTCTGGTCCACGAATGTGGGCGTGGGTTCGAATCCCACTTCTGACAGATGTCTGGCACTGCTAAGTGCTTTTTTTCTTCAAAATCTGTTGTTGATTATTGATTCAGTGCTTTAAATATTTTAAATTTAATTTTTTCCATTCAAAAATACGTGTTATTCCTTGAAGTAAGAAACGATTTTTAATTTGAAATCTTTCTTTACTATGAATTCTACTGCAGCGTTGCAGCGTGTCAGGATGGCCGAGCGGTCTAAGGCGCCAGACTCAAGTATAAGCTTGCTCTGCTGCAGAGCGTT